ACTGGTGTAAATTAGGTCCAGCCTCCTTAAAGTGTCTATGATTGGACAACACCCTGGAGATCCACTTTGGTCCTTTCACCCAGGTCCTGATTATAAACATCTTGCTCCAGGAATTCAGGAAATGATTGTGCTGATGCCACCATAGAATGGGCTCTGGCTCATTCTGCTATAGCCTGATCATCTTGCTCCAGTAAGTAAGGGATGTGTGTGAAGCTGCTATGATAGCAACTGTGGCTCAAATGAAACAGAGAGCAGCTGTGGAGTCACTTCACTAATAACAATTATGTGTTTATGAAGGTGTGCTCCTACTTGTTTATAGGAGCATTACAAATGCTTGTGTCTCTAACTGTCCAAATCGTTATCAGATAAAGAAAAAAGGCTAAAGCATTCAGTCAAAAGGATTACTAGAATAATGGGGAATGCTTGATTTCCTTCTCCAGTGTTCCTGTCTCAGAGGCAGCAAAATACTCCAGTATGGATCTTGCTTGATAACAGAAATGTCCATCCTTTCCTCTGTCCTCAGTGACTGCCTTCCACTATGTGCAAAAAGTCCAGATCACAGAAAATCCACCCTCTCCTATCACAAATATGTTTGTGCTACTTATAGCGAGTACTCGCTGTGCAAAAGATGCTTCCTCTTTTTAAGCTGAAATTCCCCTTTTAAGGCACATTTGATTCTCTCACAAGTGTCAGTGTTATTCACAGTGTCCCTGAGCTGCTGTGTAAGCCCTATCCTTCACGTAAACCTTTGCTTGGATTTTGCCTGAAGGAAATAACCCTTTTTGAAAAAGACTAAGTTCTTATGGCTAGCAAATACCATTCACTTTTCTTTGCTTAAATGGGCCTTTGAATGTAAAATACAGTTTTTTGGCAAAGACTGAAGTTACTACAATGAGATTAAAAAAAGCAGCCTGTCCTTCCCCAGTACTCCACCTCTGAAAGTCACAAAGTTCATTTAAGAACTGATGACACAGTAAAAACACATCTGAATGGATTGTTATGTAAGAACAGTGATATCAGTACTGATTCCATAATATTTATGGGAAACTGAAGAAATTTAAGGCCATATCTATGACACGGCTGCCCTTCTTGCCATATTCTCTTTGACTTTTCTACATGACTGAGTAAAGAAGTTGTGATTATGTGTTTGACTATTTATGTGTATAATTCTTTGATAAATTGATAACTTCATTTTCTTGTACTGCCAATTTATTTATATGGAATTTGATTTCTCCTGTAACCTCATTTTGATTCTGCCAGCTTAGTAAAACTTGTAATTTTATCATCCATTTAGATTTGTTTCAAGTTGGCTTATGAGCATGCAGTGAGCTTCATAAAAGCCCAGCTTAATGAGTGCAGTTGTTCTTGCCAGCTGTAGATCAAACAATATTCACACCTGACTCTCTTTTGTCTGAATCACATTTTATACATGGCATTCAAAAAGGGGCTGCCTGGGGAGAAAAAAAAAAATCCATCCTGTATCCTTTGCCTATTAAGCATCTGGATATATTGCCTATTATTAGAAATGAATTCCAAATCAGTTTCTGTATGCACGTTTTTCTTTGCCCAGGACAAACTACTCAACAGCTCTGATTAAAAATAGAGAAGTAGGCTGTTAGGAGTGAAGAAGGGGAAGTTTTTTTCTCCAGTCTTTAGCAATCAGAGAACTATAATTTACTTTTAACAGTTTCCTGTGAATGCAGCCAAAAGAATAATTTCTTCAACTAGATTGATTGAAGACTAATTGGACCTAATTTAAGTGTTTCCCAAACATGTTCAGCAAAAATCTAAAACCTTGAAGCATTTACAGGCTTCAGATTTTTCCCTTGCATGCAGCTTAGTCTTGCAGTTAACAAGGAAAATAGGAGAAGTGCATGAGATTTTCAGAGATGATGGAATATCCTCCTCCCACTCTGAGATGTCACCAAAAGTAATGATGGATGAGATCTAAACATTGGACTGGAAGAAATCAAATTTGAAATGTTAAATATTCTTTGTCTTCCTGCCTACAGAGTCTCAGCATTTATACTGAATGTAATACAAATTTATTGAGTTCAGTTTTCATCTGAACCCTCACCAGCCATGCTGGTTGCAGTTGGATTAGAAGGTAGTGCTCTTTGTATGGGCCTGGGTAACTTTTGATGAGATAGGATGTGGTTCCTAGTTTCATGGTGAAAGTTTTTTTATGCATTTTTAGGTTAGCTTTACCTATTATTTTATTGATAATAATATGTATTTAATGGGAATAGCTGTGTTGGCAATGTATTGCTTGTGATGATCTCTTAAAAACTGGTTGGGTGATATCTGAAATAGGAAACCAATGTGTCTAAATCAGAAGAGAATGTAAAAAGTTTGAAGCAAGACAGAGAGAGTGTGTAGGCAAAGAAAGAGAATCTAGATCAGGCCTTAATTGAAACACATTAAAACTACATGAGAAGATCATAGAGAGGCAGGGATTTTGCAGAATAGAATTAGGAGTTAGCTGCTGATAAAAAGGTTTTTAAGAAGAGGTCAGTAAAAACACTCTAATAGTCTTTTGGGGAAGAACATACTTCATGGTAGATCATAAATAAAAGGTAAGCAATTATTCAGAAAGACAGACTGAACTTGAAAGCCCAGGCTTAAGAGTGAATTTTCATCAGAATTTCATCCACTTCTTTGTTCCTAAAAGAAAGACCTTGAAGTTGAAATTGAAGAAATAACAAAGGTAACAAAGTAAGGATTGAAGATAGAGCTCCAAGTTGGCACATACAGAAAAAAGAAACATGTTGAAACTTGGCCACACAAAACACTGAGTGTATGATTAATACAGCAGAACCCTAAAAGCTGACAGGTACTTGGAAAGATGTTTCCTTGTAGCTGAGACTCCAGCTCTGAAAAGGCTTCCCTTGGAGATAACGTAGCAGCAAGGACAAGATGCTATGGTGTGTGCAGAGCCTCACTGAAATTTACAATTTTGCATCAGGCCTGCAGGTTAAAAAGGTTTGGCAATCTGGAGCTGATTGTGATATTGCAATACACTTACATTATGATAGGACTGTAAGTGCAAAAGATTTACTGAGGTGTATGGGGACACATAGGGACATAAGCCTGCCACCCACAGCAGGGTGCATTTGCTGTGAGCAGCCCAGACATGCTCAGCAGACACCCCAAGCTGACAGAGGGCCACAGTGAGGATGCCTGAAGTCTTAATTTTTGTACACAAAGGTACTACTTACCAATAAATGTTAGATTTTACTTATAGTGGGCAGAAGTTATGTAGGTACTTATCAGAGTGGGAAAAGCATGGGATAAAATGATCAAAGGCAAGCAGACCTGGTGTGCTGAACCATGTGAGGACATGGAGAGGTTTTTTTTTAGAAAGCTGGTATTGGGTTGTTCTGGAAAGGAGGTAAAGGACATCCTGAAGGAAGGGGTCTAGTGCCTCAGAAAATGGTGTAGCCTGAAAGTAAGTGCTGTCTTCCTTGGGAACCCCAGAAAGCTTCCAGAGGAACTCTGTGATCCAGTGCCTAAGGCTGAAGTAGCCACCAGGATGGCAGGTGAGAAATCAAGAGGAACTCAAATCTGTGGTGATGGCATCAGTGGCAAAGAGACCACACATTTTACACTGACAGAACCCCTTTAGCCATATGTAGGATCTGAGTTTTCTATCAAAGTCATAAGGGATGGCAAAATATTCTTCATTGTCCCCAGAGTATTAAATGCTGATGCAAAAATGATGCCTAGGTGATTAAAAAGCAAGATGAGTTCCATACAAAGGCGTGTTACAATAAACAACAGGGAAGCACCCAAGGTAGTGTTAGGAGGTATCTTGACTCTGGAGATAGGATTAGGAAATTGTTTTGGCAAAGTTCCTCTAGAGTCTCTGGGTACCACCAAGGACAAAACCTCTGCTAAGTGGCTTCAGGGTACAAAGCACAAAAAAGATTGAGAAACCAAGCTGTCCTGCTTCTGCTCCCACAGTCACAGCTCACTCTGAGAAATGAAAGGCATGAAATATTACCAAAATGGGTTGTACTGGACAAATCTTAAAATCTAAGGAAGGTGGTGATGCATTTTTTGCCATGAACTGATGAGGCAAGTTTTGTAGACAGAGAAATGTATCTTTTATTAATCCAAATATTGACAGAAAAAACAGGAGAAGCTTCAAAAGGCTTTAAAAATGCCTGATAGCCTGCTTTCTTTTTCCTGTGGTACAAGTTGCTCTATTAGGAAACATGATCTCTCTACAAATCTTGCTTCATTTAGACTATCCTGGCTACATCAAGACTACTATTATAATTAAGGCTTTGAATGCCCACATTCAGAAAACGAGAAATGCTAAACATAGTTCATGGGGAGAATGCAACGCTTCCAAATGGAAATTTTGGCAATTAGCACACTGAGGAGGGAGTCACATACATCAGTCTATGAGAGAAGCCTGCAAAAATATGTCTTCAATCTGACCACTTTCTAGGATCTGGCTTTCTCATTCTATGCTAATGAGTACCCGATTTCCCTCAGGATTCCCAGTTGAAAAACTTGTTCTGTTAACAGGCGCCTTCATCACCTCCTCCAAAAAGAAGGATGCACCACTCTATCCTAAGGACACAAGCAAATCCTTTTCCCTTCTTTAGGGAGACTCAGGTTCATCCAAAGATTCTAGCTTACTTTTTCACACTGCAGAACTACTTTGTGTACCAGGCTAAAGGCAGTCCTGTAGTAGGACCAAATCCCTTCTGAGCCAGCTCTACTTTGCACATAAGAGTTATGAAATCTCTTGGTCAGAAAAGAAGGAGCATAATGACCTCCATTTACTAGTGCTTCAAGTGGGATGTGGGAGCTCTGGATTGATGTTGCTGCCCCCAGGACTGTATTAAGAGTTTTGTGTTAAGTATTATTATGCCAAATGCACAGGCAGTGGTTGGGGCTGTGATAAGAAGACCAGGAATGACCTCTTCTTTCTTTGAGACCTCTTGCATCATGCAGCTAAGGCAATATTCCCCCTTTCTAATTCACAGGTTCAGGAGAGGTTGAGAATTGCCATCTACCAGGGAATAGCTGTCTACAGTGCTATTCCATAATGTGAGAGTTGGAAGCATACCAGCACCTGACAGGCAGGACTGGGAATTGGCCTGCACCCTCCTTACCTCTGAATGAGAACTCTAACCACTAAGCAACTGTAAAAATAGTCTCAATCCAATCGGCAGAGAGAGACATCATTCCTCTAATGATATTTCCAAAGGAATAAGCACATGCAATCCAATTCTGTGCAGAGATTCATTCAATAAATATGTTCTGAGACAACCAACTATGTCTAGTCCATCAAACAAGACAATGAGAGGAAGGGCTGGGACTGGCTCTTAGTAGGGCCTGAATTAGTAAACTGTTGCTAAGCATCTCAGGTTTTGTCACCTGGAAACCTGAAATCCTGGAGGTCAAAAGGATTTTGGCTAAATAACAGCTGAAAAGGGGTTTTTATATTTGTCAGTATGTGTTTGGATGCCTTAAATCCAGCCCAGGCACCATCCTAAGTATTGAGAGATTTCAGTGGATTTGTCCTAACTGGACAGACTTTTTCTCTCCTTTCATGGCCAGGGGCAGTTCCTGCACTGCTTTTTGTTATATCTTTGATCACTGGTGAGTACCAATGCCTGCTGAAAATTACATCCCACATCTTCTCAACCCATAGCATGGAAAAAATTTCTAGAGATTAAAGGAAATCTCATAGAAGGTACCTACTACAGTTCCTAGGAGCCATGCCCAGCAGTGCCTGGGAAAACCCTCTAGCCTTCAGAAAAGATGGAGATTTAAAATTCTGCTGATCCCGGGGCCCATTTTGGCAGGTCCTAACAGTTGTCCACGAATGAGAACTCTCGGGCACACCCTGCTTAGTTTTGATTCAGAGAAAGAAGGAGTTGTTATAATGAGGCAGGGGAACTAGATTTTAACTTCACTCTTTAAGTTTATTTAATGCACTGGATCTTACAGGATGTTCCAGTTAAACTGGGAGTAAAATTTATTTAATATATAATGCCTGCATTTTGAGAGACGGAGATTAAAGCATCCAGTGCATTTGGAGAGCATTTCATTCTCATGGCATCTGGTTTTGCAACTTGTTTAAACAAAATGTGATTCTTTGATGTGGAAGTGATGCTAACATGCAAGGGAATAAAATACATGAAATTTAAATACAGGGAATGAGTTTACAAATACTTAACCCTGTATATATGCTGATGTACTGAAGTGCTCTTGTCCCATGCATCCTATATACTTATTCACTTGTTTTATATATTATGCCAGCTGGAAGAATTATGACATTTGAGACCACAGCAGAGAGAATATCCTTTTCAATTCAAGTCCTCCCCAAGCATAAGACAATTTGGCAGTCCTCCTGATAAAAAATAAAAACAAAAACTGGCTGAAAATGGAAGAAAACTACTGCAGCCTCTTCTGCAGTGCAAGTCCACTGTGTGGAAATATTATCAAAGGAGAGATATAAGATTTTACTCTTAAATGTTTTTGTGGGCTTTTATATCTATCTTAAACTCATTGCTAAAAATGAAAATAATCACATAAACTGACAATTTATAATCTCTCAATCACTTTTGTGCATTTTTAAAAAATAAATACTGGAAATTACTTTGAAGCCATTTCTTGGAGACAGCAGTAAAATAATAAACTCCTTAGGACATAGCTTATGTATTTAAAACTGTCTTTCCATACTCTTCTATCTAATGCTCTGCTAGTGCTGGTTTTACTTGCTTAACTAAATTTCTTATTATGTACCTGCAAATTTATTTTTTTTTTTTTGCCAGGGGTGACCTCCTTTGGCTAGGGTGAATAAAATTGCTTAATTCTCCTGATCCTTTGGTGCTAATAGAACAAAAAAAGGTTGAAAAATCATTTAGAGAGTACAAAATATTGGCAGGTGCAATGGGGGTATCAATGAACTCAGAGAAAATATTGGTGAATTGGATCATAAATGAAACTAAACAGCCAGATGAAGTGAAAGAAACTGACAGCATCATCAATTCACCTCTTATTCTATGTGGGATTTGATAAAAGAGCTGTGCAGTAATCTCCTTATCCTGAAACCTTCTTATTTTGAGACCCTTCTATCATGGCTTTAAAAGAGGCTGACAACATGCAAACTGCAAGCAGAAGAGTTCAATTTACAGGGTTTGACATGGGGCTAAATTGAAGATAATCCCCTGAAGTTAAAGTGAACATAAAAAGGAGAAGAAACAGCCAATTTCAGAGATGTACAATGTGACATCCCTCAATACATCTGAGCAGTTGAAGAGGAAGCAGGATCCCATCCATAAGGGTAAGCAGCACAGGAAGTTTCCTCTTGGACCAGCAAGATGCAGATTACTGCTGTCCTGGGGCTAGTCCAAAGCAGATGTCAGCTTAAGGCTCTGCAAACTTGCCTGTAGATAATTTCCCTACTGGTGAGTAATATTTGTAACCTTTAGAAACTGTGATTAAGTGTGTCTGCATGACAACTTGTACACATCCAAATATGTAGAAATTGCTGCCTTAAATCATATTCCATTGCAAGGGCTAGAAATGTGCTTGTAGTGTATTAGCTTGCCAAAATGGGAAAGAGAGGGTTTTAAGCCATTCTGAATGAAACAAGGGCAATTAGCTTAAATAATGGAAAATTGCATAAGTTGCTCAATATACAGCAATTCTGATAAGCCTAGCAGCTGTCTCAAAGAGGCTGGAAGAAGGCTGTGTTTCTTATACTGCCATTATCATGTGTTCTTAAGTCTCAGACAGGTAATTTCACAATCTGAATCCCACTTGTGCTCATATAAAGTGCAGTTGTTGACTTCCTACTGTATCTTAAAAGTATATTAATTCACTTTATTACAGTTATAATTTAATTTGAGATCTATCTTGCTTTATTTTATTTAGCTTAATGGGTAATACTGAGTTTAGGCTTCTTAGTTTATTAATAGGTAATCAGATTGTAAATGGCTCTCAGGCATAGGGTTTTTCCCTTTCAGAAATGCAGTAAGGTTATAAAAGCTATAGTAATTCTTCTGGTAAATATTTATCCCTATCTCTTGATGTGTACCTGTGTTCTTCACAGTACATGATACACTTGTGTGTAAGACACTTGCTTACCTTAGGTTTTAGGACTCATATTAGAAGCCTACATATACCTGTGTGTCAGTGAGTACTATATTAACAGGGTATGAATAAATATTAAAAAATACCTATTTTAATTAGGTATTTCTAATTAAATATAACTTCAGAAGGTTTAACGGACTGTTTGTACAGTTATGGTCTCCTAAAAATCTAAATTCAGTCTACACTGCAGTTCCCACTGTATTTTGTCATCTGTCATCATTAGGCTCTACTTTTTTACCACTGTAACTTCTAGGACTCGAAATACTTCTCCCTGAATTTGCATTACGTATAACAGCCAATGGATCTTGAAATATTCTTCAAGGTGATTTCAGTTCTGTCAAAAACAAGTGAAAAGCTGTGGAGTTTATTAGCAATGCTGTAAATATTTAGTCCATCAGAATATGCCAAAAATGATTATATAATTGACAAAGATGTTTTTTATACATTCTAGATTTACATTTTTATTGCAAAGGCAGGCTCTTCAAAACTCAGAAATTCCTGCATATATTATAATGCACCACCTGCCTTGTCCAGTGAATTCATTCATGTAGGCCTGAAGGAAGCAATGTACCAAAACTAGTATTGTGCAAGAATGGCATCGTCAAAACCCCATTAATTGAGGCAGATGTATCTGCTTATGTGTAGTACCATTCAAATACCTCCTTCAATGCATTATTTCTGTTATGAACTATTTATATCCTACAAAAAGTCGGGAGCGGCATTGGAGTGCCTCACTACGCTGGCATACTAACACTTGAAATAAGACATATTATCAAGGACTTTGTTTTTATGAAGCATAAAGGCTGGGTTCCAGTCTGGTGAGGAAAAGAACTGAAGAAATGGTACAGCCCTAATAAAAAGACATTTTAATTTCACTGACATTATCAATTACATTGACCTGCTGAGATGTTAATGATGTGAATGTTAACACCTCTGGTTATGATGTGATTAAGACAGATAGAGAGGAAAAAAAGAGTTTCAGAGGTAGGACTGTACAGTGAAGATACAATTACCTTGTTTTAGGTCTATAGCTCATGGAGCCATGAATTATTTAGGTTGGAAGGGACCTCTGGGGGTCATCTGGGGAACCTCCCTGCTCAAAGTAAGTATAATTAGATCAGGTTCCTCTGGACTGAATTTCTACTTGAGTCTTGAACACCTCTTGGGAAGGAGATCCTGTAACCTCTCTGGGCAACTTCTTGCAGTATCTGACCACTCTCAAGGTAAAAAAATAAACCCAAATCAGCCCCATAAAAGGTGATCTATAATCACCTTTTTTCATCTTCTAACTAGTTTCTTTTCCTCTCATGTTATTGCTGTGCAGGTGCAGCAAGAGATGAATTAGAAGTGAAGATTCCTGAATGCCTGTAGACCAGTGTGCCAACTAACACTGGAAAATACAATGAAGCAGCAGGGTGAAAGGAGAGAATAAGAGAAATGTGAAAAGGGCTGACCTCTTAGAAGGGTTAGAAAACCTGCAATTATATTGATGAGTTACTCCTAACCAAGTTTCTGTAATGGACACAATTCAAATCTGCACTGTTATGGGGAAATTAAAAACTGAAAGATTTGCAGTTACCAATTAAACATCAATAGAGTTTCATTTTTGTTCAAAGACTTTCAGACTCTATGGACAGAAGGGGCCTCCCTGTTCACCTAGGCTGACCCTCCCTGTGCAGAGGCTGGATAAAGTTTTTTCAGAACTAGATCAAAAAATGTCTTTTAAAAAAAGATCTAATCTGTCTTCTGCATTCAGAGGGATAGTGACCTAACCACTTTTTTCCAAAAAGTCGGTAAAATGTCACTTACATAACTTAAAAGCCTTACCATCATAAGATAAATATTTTGGACTTCACTACAAGGAATAAAGATGAAAGTTGCTGAATTGGAAGCTGGTGGTTACCAAGAGACCAGTGTTCAAGGCCTGATTATATTTAGCGTGGCCAATCACATGAGAGTCTCAAACTCGGCTTCAAAAGCTTTAATTTATGAAATCTCAGGGAAGTTATAAGGAAAATCTGTTTGGGTAATACATCTGGGTTGAACAATGTACATGGAAGATGATGGCTCTTGAAGAGCATTTATTAGCTGTCCAAAAGTCACTATAAAAGAAAAGAACATTGGTACTGTTTTTAGTTGTTAAGGGAAAGCCATGATTAGAAATA